TGTGTGTGTGTGTGTGTGTGTGTGTGTGTGTGTGTGTGTGTGGTTTCTTTGTTTGTTTTGTTTTTGTGGTAGTCCTGTAGTGCTATGAGCTTCCCTCTCAGAACTGCTTTCATTGTGTCCCATAGATTTTGGTTTGTTGTGTGTTCATTTTCATTTATTTCCAAGATGTTTTATTTTTTATTTTTCCTTTGATCTCTTTGGTAACCCATTCATTTTTAATAACATCCTATATAGTTTCCATGTGTTTAAATGTTTTTGAGTATTTTTATTGTAGTTGATTTCTAATTTCATGCCATTGTGATTTGAAAAGATGCTTGATACAATTTCAATCTTCTTGAACTTGTAGAGACTTAAATTGTGCCCTAATATGTGGTCTTATCTTTGAAAATGTCCCATGTGTACTTGAGAAGAATGTATATTCTGTGGCTTTGGGGTGAAATGTTCTGAAAATGTCAGTTAATTTCATCTGTCCTAGTGTGTCATTTAGGATTGCTGTTGCCTTGTTGATTTTTTTGGTCTAAATCTATCTAATGATATTAGTGGGGTATTAAAGTATCCTACTATGATTGTATTGCTGTTGATCTCTCCCTTTAAATGCTCCAGAAGTTGTTGTTTTTTATATATATTTGGATGCTCCTGTATTGGGTGCATATATGCTTACCAGAGTTATAGCCTCTTGTTGTATCAATCACTTTAGTATTATGAAGAGGCCATCATTATCTCTTGTTATGGTCTTCACTTTAAAGTCTGTTTTGCCAGATACAAGTATTGCTACCTCAGCTTTTTTTTTTTTTTTTTAATTTCCATTTCGCTGCTGTAGTCTTACACCTAGATTCCCCAGCTGCCAGCAACCTTATAGCTTTTCCTTTCCACAGTCCAGTCAGATGTTATGCTGTCCCCAAGGGGGTAGAAAGAAAGAAAAGAGAAAAACTAAAGTGGGGACAGGAGAAGAAAAAACAGGATGAAAAATGGAGAAGCGAGGAAAAAAGGACTCTTCTATGTGAGTCCTTTGTTCTGAGGTGGATCTCTTGTAGACGGGATATATTTGGGTCACATTTTCTTATCTATTCAGCTACCCTGTCTTTTGATTGGAGCATTTAAGCCATTTACATTTAAGGTTATTATTGATAGGTACTTATTCATCGCCATCCTTATTTTTTATGCTTGTGTTCAGTTTCTATTTATTCTTCTTAAACTAGTCCCATTAGCATTTCTTGCAGTGCTGGTTTAGTGGTAATAAATTCTTTTAGTTTTTTGTTTGTTTGTTTGTTTGTTTTTGGTGTTTTGTTTTTGTTTTGTGTTTTTTTTTGTCTGTGAAGCTCTTTATTTCACCTTTGATATTGAATGATAGCATTTCTGGATAGAGTAGTCTTGGGTCAAGTCCCTTGGTTTTCATTACCTTATATACTTCATACTATTCCCTTCTGGCCTGAAATGTTTCTATTGAGAAGTCAGCTGACAGTATAATGGGAGCTCCTTTGTAGGTAACTTTCTGTCTCTCTCTTGCAGCCTTACGATTCTTTATCTTTAATTTTTGCCATTTTAATTAATATGTGCCTACGTGTGGATCTTTTGGGGTTCATCTTAATTGAGGCTCTCTGTGTTTCCTTAACTTGAGTGACTTTTTTATTCACCTGGCTTGGGAAATTTTCTGCCATTATTTCTTCAAACAGGTTCTCTATTCCTTTTTTATATTCTGCTCCTTCTGGTACCCTTATAATGCCAGTGTTGTTCTGTTTCATTTTGTCCCAAAGCTCACTTAGACTCTCTTTTTAATTATTTTCCATTTGCTGTTTGAATTGGTGATTTTTTTCCTACCTCATCTTCTAATTCCCTGATTCAGTCCTCAGCTTCTAGACCTTCCAGGGTGTTCTTTATTTCAGCTATGTCATTCCTCATTTTCAATTGATTCTTACTTATTGTTTCAAGCTCTCTTTTCATGTTGGTATAGGTCTCATCAGGACCTGTATAATTCTGATTAAGTTGTAGTTCTCACTGAATTTTTTGCACATCTTTATTACCATTACTCTGAATTTTTTATCTGATAAATTGTTTATCTCCATTTCATTTAGTTCACTTTCTGGTGATTCCGCCTTTTCTTTCATTTGGAGGTTGTTTCTTTGTCTCCCCATTTTTGCTGTCCCTTTGTTTTTGTTTCTGCATATTAGATCAAACTGCGGTACCTCCCAGATTTTGTGGGGTGGTCTTATGTAGTAGGTATTTTGTGTGACCCAGTGATGCAGTCTCTTAGATTGCCTGAGCTGCGTGCTCTAGGAAAGGCCCTTCCTTGTTTTATTTGGGTTCTCATTTTATAGTTGGGTCTTGAATGTTATTGTTCCATTGGTGGATGGAGTCTTCTCTCAGGCTGGCTATGTGTCTCATCCACAGCCACAGCATGTGAACTGTTGTGGAGGTGCTGACTGAACAGAACAAAATACAACACAACAAAACACTAAACAGAAGAAACAAAACCAAAATATACTGAAGATCCCTATACCACCAACAAAAGCAACCACCAGAGAAGAGAGAATTAGGAAAGAAGAAAGAGAGTAAGAATAACAGGAAAAAAAAGAAAGGAAGAAAAAGTATGAGAAGAAAACAAAACAAACAATAAACAAAAAGCACACTCAAAAAACAACAAGAAAAGGGGGGACAGAATATGTAGATGCAGAGCTGAAATAAAGGAAATAAAAATAAAGAATTAAAATAATAGGGGAAGGAAAATGGTTTAAAATAAAGAATGGAGAAAAGAAATAAAAAGATAAATTAAAAAATTGAAAGGGAGAAAGCAGATAGACCTAAAATAAGAATAAGAAAAAAGATGAGAAAACAGGAGAAAAAGAAGAAAGAAAAAAAATTGAATAGTGAAAAAAGAAATAAAAAAAAATGAGTAGGAAAAGGGAAGAGGAAAATTAGATATATAAATGAAACAACAGAGATTAGAATAATAACAAATCAATAAAGCAGATAAAGAAGATACATTTTAAAAGGGAAAAAACAAAGGAAAGAGAAAAATGAAAAAAAAAGACAAGTGGGAGGGGAAAAAAAGAAAAAAAAAAGGGAGAGGGGGCAAAAAAAGTGAAATGGCCTTCATTTCAGCCAAGTTTAGTGCCCTATGGGAGCTCACTTTGGATCCCGCCTGTCTGCCAATTCTGGGCTTCCTGGGTTAGGTACATAGGTGCTAACCACTGTCAGGCACTGTCCTTTGGCTTTCAGCACCTGCTTGAAGGTCCAGGTGATCCACTGACCCACCATTTGTGTCTGTCCCCACAGGCCTTGGCTGCCAGCAGGAGGAGCCAATCTCCCAATAAAGCATTTTTAACTAAGTTATGCACATTGTTGTTGTTTTTTAAGCTATAGTACCATTGCACACTTAATTGACTACAGTTTGGTATAACCATAACTTTTATATATAATCAAAACCCAAAAAATTCATGTGACTTGTTTTATTTTGATTCTTCCTTTATTGTGGTGGTCTGGAAGCAACCCCACAATATCTCCAAGGTTTGCCTGTATAATTCTTTTTTAAAAATCATAGTTGGATTTAATTTGCTAATAATTTTTGAACATTTTTCATCTGTCTTCAAGAGATATTGGGATACAGTTTTACAATTTTGTACTTTTTTTTGTCTGCTTTGGTATAGGGTAGTATTGGCCTCGTAAACTAAATTAAGAAATGTTTCCTCCACTTTTATTTTTTTGTGAGAGATTGTGTAAAATTGGTAGTAATCTTTCCTCAAATGTTTGGTAAAATACTCCCTCAAACTCTGTCAAAGAACATTCTGTTTTCTACTTCTAGACATTTCACTATTTTATATACCACACATAAGTGGAATCATGAGGTATATGTTTGTCCTATAATTTCCACTTGAATTTTTGGTATAACTTCTACTTTTCGATAATATCTTGTACTTTTTCATTTGCTTCAAGAGAACTTGTAGTTGCTTATAGCATTGTAATGATATCTGCTTTAGCATCCCTGTCAGATGATCCCAATGTCATACTCTCTCACTGCTGGTGCCAGTGGATCATCTTTCCTCATTGAGGTTGCATTTTACCCATTGAGTGTATGCTCCAGTTTATATAATTGACTATGCTTAAACATTCAAGCAATATTCAATATTCTGAAACTATATGAAAATAACCATGTGCATGTGTATATTCATAAAACTGCAACTGACCCTTCAGGAGAGACCTTGGAAGTATGCTTGCTGTGTCAACAGTTACATGTATACAGTTTACATACTGCCAAATTGCCCTCCCTCTAAAACGCTTTACCATTCTGCATGATTGAAGTTGAACATATTTTCATTTGTTTATACCTCTTTTGGTAAACTGAGCATGTTTCTTGCCCAATTTTCTCAAACTTCTGGTCTTTTCTGCTTGATTTTTTAAAGTTCCTATAATGGGGGGATATTAACCCTTTATCTGCAAAATACTGTTGATTTATGTTATATATTTCTCTTCCAGTCATTTGTTTTTTGACACTACTTACAGTAATTTTTGCAATGCAAAACACTGCTCTTGTATTCAACTTTATCAACAATCTTGTAGTATCTCTGGATTTTAAGTCAGGAAAGCATCTGGGCTGGGCATTTGTTAGGCTGTAGACCCCCAAACTGGGGAGAGTTATGGCTGAAAGCCCTCAGTCCTTGGGTTCGATCACCGGCATATAGTTACAGCTAACGGAATGGGGCCTCGAGCTGCAAGGATGAGTATTAATAGATACCCTTCAATCTGTTATTGGGGGAGGCAGAGTCTGTGGCTCGGGAAACTCATGTCTGTTGGAGGACTTAGGAAGGGGTGTGGATGAAGGCCATTATAATATTGCTCTCCCCTTTATAGGACCAGAGCCCAGAAGAAATACAGTGACTCTCCATGTCTCCCAAGAAGTTGAATATTTTGAGGTTCTTGATAAAATGAGGTACACATTCCAGGTGTGCAGCTTTGTATAGAAACATTTTATTAAAATAAAAGGAAATACAATATATAGAAGGACTGCTGCTTAGAAAAGTAAACCATAAGCAAACTTTCTCATGAACACTGGAAAAAGGCAACATTGTTTTTCCTCCATTCCATTTCCGCAGAGCAGAATGTTTCCTAATGGTTTCTGCCATCTTCACAACTCCTGGTAATGGAAGAAAGGTCAGAACATGTTTTGATGGTAGGAGTTTGTATCTGGCCTCATAAATTTTGGGCATCCAGAGGGTATAAGTTTAGCAGAGATTACCGAACAAGGTGTTGAAAGTACAGTCTGGTTTCTTCTTGCTGCTTATTATAAGAGTAGATGGATAAACTGAAGGAACTGTTAAACAACAAGGAACCAGAACTTGAAGATTTGGGAAACTCTCAGCCTATCCATATTACAGAAAATAAGACGTCCTGGAAAGAGCACCAGTGTGGCTGGACAACTGTTTCATAAAGATATAAGTTTGGAACCAGTCAACTATCTCAGCAGAAACTCTGGCAGATTGGATTAACCGTGATACACATGGGACAAACTGAAGGCATTCTATAGGTAGGAGAACAGATCTACCCAACTGCAAACATGTGTTACCCATCAAGAAGGAGAATGACCCCGAAGGTGAAACAGAGATGAGCAGGTCTGCTACTCCCACAGTGGGCCCAGAGAGTAAAAGTCTGGGGGCCAGTATGTCTCTTCTATGGTTTCAGTAGGCCTGGCACCGCCAATGCCACCCAAGTGGGACCAGAGAGCCGAGGACCCAACCAAAGATAGTCCTTGAGCCTTAAACATAATAGAACCTAACTTACTAGGTTTTAGACTTGCTTGGGACCATCAATCCTTTCTTCTCTCCACTTTTGGAATGGGAATGTAAATTCTAAGCTTGTCCCACCAGTGTATTTTGGGACCAGATAATTTGTCTGGTTTACATGTTCACAGCTAAAGAGGAATTCTGCCCAAGGATGAAACCCATCTCTAGTCTCACCCACGTGTGAATTTAGGTGAGATTCTGAACATACCATTGATGTTGGAAAGCATTAAGACTTTTCAAGTTCTTAAAATGGGTGAATGAATTTTGTATGTGGGAAAAATGTGAATGGGGGGGGGGGTGGCGAGACTAGAGGTCTGAATTATTCTGCCAAATTCATATGTTGAAGTGATAGTCTACTATGTGACTTTTTTGATGACATGGTCTTTAAAAGGTAAATGTTAAGAGGTCCTTAACCCAATATGGCTGGATCCCTATTAGAGAGAGAGACCCCAGGAAAGCACACACATGGAAAAAAGGCCACACGAGAACACAAAAGAATGCAGTCACATTTGCAAGCAGAGAGAGGCTTCAGTAGAACCAAACTGCTTACATGTTGATCTTGGACTTCTAATCTCAAATACTGAAGAACAGAAAATAAGTTTCTGTTCTTCAAGGCACCAAGTCTGTAGTATTATTATTATTATGGCAACCCTGGCAAATTAGCACACCTTCCTAGTGCAGGAAGGGAAACATAAACCAACTCTCTTATCACTGAAAGAATGCAGTACTTTTTCTCCACTGCAATGGAGAAAAGGGAAACATTTCCTAGTGACTTCTACCGCCTGCACACTGAGGGCAAAAGGGAAAGAAAGGTCAGGAAAACAGCTCTTGTGGAAGGGAGTGATGGCCAGACTTGGTTCTCTTATGTCTGTGGAGGTGAGACTTCTGGCTGAAGCCCCGCCCACACTCCCTGCACACATATGGCTTCTCTCCTGAGTGGGTCCGCTGGTGTCTGATGAGGGCTGACTTGAAGCCAAAGCCCCGCCCACACTGCCCACACACACATGGCTTCTCTCCTGAGTGTGTCCTTTGGTCAGAGATGAGGTCAGATTTCTGGCTAAGTCTTTGCTCACACACTCCATACCCATCAGAATCCTCCCCTAAGTGTGTCCTCTGGTGTCTAGTGAGAAGTGACCTGAAGCCAAATGTGCGGCCACACTTGGAGCACATGTAAGGCTTTTCCCCTGTGTGTGTCCTCTGGTGTCTGATGAGAGTGACCTTCTGTCCAAAGCCCCGCCCACAGTCAGGGCACACATAAGGCTTCTCTCCGGTGTGAGTCCTCTGGTGTCCTATGAGGGCAACCTTCTGCCGAAAGCCGCGCCCGCACTCGGAGCACAGGTAAGGCTTTTCCCCTGTGTGTGTCCTCTGGTGTCTGATGAGGGTGGCATTCTGGCGAAAGCCGTGCCCACAGTCAGCACAGACATAAGGCTTCTCCCCTGAGTGTGTGACCTGGTGAATGAGGAGCAGGGACTGCTGCCTGAAACCACGCCCACACTCTGGGCACAAGAAGGGCCTCTCACCAGAATGTGAGCTCTGGTGTTGGAGGAGCGATGCCTTCTGGCAAAAGCCTCTCCCACACTCAGGACATACGAAGGGCTTCTCCTCCAAGTGTGTCCTCTGGTGTAGGACGAGGGCAATCTTCTGACGAAAGCCTCGCCCACACTCCTGACAGACAAAGGGTCTCTCTCCGGAGTGTATCCTCTTGTGGTTAGTGAGCGAGGACGTATACCTGAAGTGTCGCCCACATTCCCTGCACGTGTACGGTTTCTCCCCTGAGTGTTTCCTCTGGTGTATGGTGAGGGAGGACTTCCGGCCAAAGCTTCGTCCACACTCCCCACAACTGTAAGGCTTCTCCCCTGTGTGCATCCTCTGGTGTTTGAGGAGGTCTGACCTCTGGCAGAAACCTCTGCCACATTCAGGGCATACATGATGCTTCTGGAGGCGAGCCAGGCTTGAGTTTGTGCTGCGTCCTCGTGTATATTTTTCACACGTGACTGCTCCAGATTCTGAGCAGTCTGCCCCTGTCAACATGTCAGCCCCCTCAGGATTCATCTTCTGGTCTGTTCCTTCCACCTTGTGTACTGGCTGACCTTGAAATGGGCCAAAGAATATGCTTGAAGTCCCACTTAGCAGCAGCCTCCTGACCATGGTGCCTTCGCTCTTTCCATCTTCTGCTTTTGCTCTCAAGCATCTTGGAGCCTCCAGCGGGAAGTGACTTCCTACAGAAGAGTTTGGGGAAATCTCAGGGGGGTGGCCACACAGCACATATTGTCTGAGGAACTGCGGACTAGAAAAGGCCGCTGGGCAGGAGAGACTGGGCTGGAATTCTGTCCTTGGTTCTGCTGGAGAGAAAGTCTGTCATAATCACCACGGTACCTTGTGGACAGTGAAACTTACCCAGCAGTCATTCCTCAGTTCACAGAAAGACTTCTTTTAGAGAGCTACCCGCCTCCCGCTGTGACACCTTCGTGTGTGTACCAATACAACACAAAAACTCACAAGACGAGCCAGCTCTAAATGATCAGCCTGGCAAATAGTTTCAAGAAAGCCTGAGAGACAGCTTCGGCCCTATGAAGTGCTGCCATTAGCTTCATACATTTCCCACAGTACAATTACCTCTCAACCCACAGGCATTATCACTGATATAAACATTATCACAAATACAGGTTGGAGCAAAAGCAGGTTTACAGTTGTGAGTAGGTGAAGCACAGAGTTTATTCTCATATTATTTTTGTATTGTTTTCCATATGAAATACTGTAAACCTACTTTTGGCATAGCCTGTATATGCTTTTACTGAAAGTATATGACTTACTACAAATTTCTTTAGTGATTTTTTCCTACAGGAAAGGAATGGGGTGATTACAAGGAATCTTTCCACCCGGAGGCCCCATCGGGGAGGCAGTACAGGGGGTCCCTGCAGGCAATGACCAGGAGGTGTTGCCACCATCCTCACCAAGTGTTTTCTAGAGGGTATTTGCTGGGTTTTATGCCAGAAAGTGGGGACTCAACAATGAAACAGTCTACAACCCCTTAAAGGATCCTGGCACCTGGTGACCCCAATCAGTGCCAACCTGCTTTTCTTAGTGTTGTGCAAATTGTTGTGAAAGAACAATACCCCCTGCAATAGCTCTTTACTGGGAGACATTAATTTGTAGGCCTTGTTTTATTACACTGGTTCTATCCACCTGAAGCTGATGAAAAAACAACCCATGACACTATACTCAGTATCCCAGGCTTTTTCAGACCTAGCAGAGTCTTTCTTCAAAATAAGATGTGTTTTATAAACTTTCTACAACATGGGTTGCAAACTACAGTCCACCAAATGTTTTGTAAATAAAGGTCCAAAGCCACACTCTCCATGTAGTGTCTATGGCAGCTTTCACAACAACGGCAAAGTTTAGTAGTTGCATCAAAGAAGGCAAAGGTTGGAAAGGCTGAATTATTTACTATCTGGCCCTTTAGGCTAGAGGAAAATCTTTCCTGAACCCTGATTTACATTATTGATTCATTCGATCTTGTCTAAAATGCCAACTTTCAATACTAACAAGTATAGCTACTGTGAAACCCCTTCCTAATACTTCAAGCTCCCTAGATTTGCTTTTCAGCAAGTTCTTAGTAAATTTAGTTATGTGCGTGTATGCACGCACATGTGTGTATATACGTATGTATATGTAGCTAGATCTAGAATCTCCTGTGAAATGGCCTTGAGAATCACAAGTGCTGACTCCACTGGGCATCCAGATGTGACAGTGAACATCCTTTCAGTCTTGCATCTATGTCTGGCCATCAAGAGGTCCCACCATGATTGGTCAAATGTGCTCTAGTGCAGCTCACTGAACTGTCAGTTTATTTTGTTAATCTAGGCTGTCCACATTTCACAACCTGTGGAAGGTGTATATATCTCTGAGCAGCAGTTTCCAATAAATACTCTGTTGTAATTCTAGAATTCTGACAGCTGAGCTTTCAGTACTGCACAACTGTCTACTTGTCTCTGAATTGATGGGAAGAGAAAAGCAGCCACTGCCTTCTTCTTGTCTTGCTTATATGCCAGGAGCCGGTCCATCCTTGCTGTTTCAAGGGACCTGGCTGAGTCCAAAGAAAGAAGACTCTGTATTGATCTTTAGATTAAGAAGATGTGCCATACTGAGTCTAAAGAAATAAGACTCTGTATTGATCTTTTAACACATACGCTTGCTAGCAGAGGAATTAAGGTTACTTCCAGTCAGACAGAACGTTTTATACAAGAAGTATGTCCATGCTTTTCTGAGGAAGGAAAGGTAAATGTAAAGGCATGGGAGGAGGTAGGGCCAAGGAACCTTATCCTTAACCCCACTGCAGCCTTTCCACCCCGGGAAAGTGCAGGATTGGCAAGCTCTCCCTGGGATGATAGATCAGGACTCAGGTAATAGCGGAAAGCGCCAATCCTACTCTTAAAATGGATACAAGAGAGCATTTGGTTTTTTTCTTTTTAATGCCTGCTTTTAAAAAATAAAAAAGGAGGAATTTGCCGGGAGCCGGTCCATCCTTGCTGTTTCAAGGGACCTGGCATATATGGCATACTGTTCTTAATATGTTTGCTCCCCTTAGCGCTATGTGTTTTAACCAAGGTCACCTCTGAGAAAGGTTGTTTCCCCAGGTGGGGATTTTTCCCTGAAGTTAGGCAGGGAATAAAACCCCTTAACTGCCAGGCCGGTAGTTAATCACTTTAACTACGAACAATCACACTTAAGCTACATAATCTTTACTCCCTGGAATGGAGATAAGAAACACCCTAACCTTTGGAATAGAGATTGATAGGATTGGAATCAACTGGTATAAATACAGATGTAACAAGACAACAGAACCTACACAGAACCTAGACACAGAACCTAGAGAGAGAACATGGCAAAAGATCCTGGACAGAAACTGGCAACAGAACCTATAGACAGAATCTAGCGAGAGAACCTGGCTGAAGATCCTAAAGACAGAACCTGGCTACAGAACCTGGATAGAACATGGCAAGAGAGACTGACTAGAACCTGGTGACTGAACCTGGCTGGAGAACTTGGACAGAACCGGGCTGGAGAATCTAGCAAGGGAACATGGCTACAGAACCTAGCTGGAGAACCTGGAGAACCTAGCAAGAGAACATGGACACAGAAGCTGGCTGGAGATCCTGACCAGAACTTGGCTAGAGATCCTGGCTAAGCTGCTGATCAACTGAACGCTGTCTCCGTGTCCTTCATTCTTCGCCGACTCCGTCCACACCTTTGGGGACCCCTGGACCTGTTGGGGTTAGACCCCAACACTTGTACACTCGATGACATAAACCCTAAAGCCAGTGGTACACAGCACGTCATTATAGCAGGGCCTTTCACTGGGAAAGGAAGCACATTTGTGTGTCTTGTACATGAAAAGGTGCCACATACTAAATCTGACAAGCTCAGGGGAGGCCTGCATGGTGGCCTTTCAAACTCACAAAGGATGGTCCAAAATTAAAACTTTTTAACTAAAAGCAGTTCATGATGAGTAGTCATGTCCTAGGCTAGAAATCTTTCCTGACAAAGGTCAATTTTCACCTTCATTAAGCCTGTTGTTTTTTTGCATCTACGATAACATATCTTTGGAATGTGAAAGTAATTTCCTTTTTCTGGACCCCTCAAAGCACAGGCGCTACTCTGCGGAAATAAAAAATCCCCTCATTGTTATTGAGTTAAAATTGCTGACTGTTAACTATCCTGCCCCCACCTATATGAAGAAGTATTGTCTATTATTTTACTTTTTATCCAACCCCAGAGGTTCCCCCCTTTTTTGCTTTCTCCCACCTCCCTAATCTATCATGGATGGATTTCATATAACCCACTTATGCCTCTTCTTTTGATTGTAATGTGTAAAATAAGGTGCAAAACTGCCATTTTCTGGAGCATTTTCTCAATCTGAAAAGACTTTGCTTCCTGGCAATTGCCATCAGTTTGGCACAAATAAACTCACAAAAATCTTTATAGGTTTGGATGTTTCTTACATTGACATTTATTTAGAGTAGTTGGCAGGATTCCAATGAAGCTCACCCAGGACCCCCAATGGATCCGGACCCGGTGATAGGATCCAGCAAGGGGCCCATTGCGCCCGCTGGCTCCCAGCCACATTGGGTGAACTTGGATGAGTTGTCTCTCTGATCCAGGACCTTCTTGCTTGTGGTAGAGGGACAGACTTTATTTGAACTGTTCTTAGAAAATCCTTAAGGTGGCGCTAAAAGATAGGAGTTGAGAAGGGTGGCTGGCTTTGATTTTGGCTTTTCAGTTGGCATTATTCCATTGCAGTCTGAGCAAAGACTTTTGCTGATGAGACCCTGCACTCGGGCTGTGACGATGAGGACATGCCCTCCCTCCAGCCAGAACCTTGGGTGTTCTTAGGAGACTAAAAATCTTCGTGGAGGTGTCAGAGGGCATTCCTCACAACCTGCAGAAGCCCAATAGGAAAATTCCAACTCAACTGTAATTAAACAATTGTCTTCTACAGGGATGCACATATAAAGGTGGTTTACCTAGTGCTCTGAGTCCTCACGGCTGTATTAAACAACTGGGGAGACAAACTGAGGCACGTAAGAGGGTTGAATGCAACTCAAGGAGTGAGAGCCTAGAGCAAGCATGTCAAACACGCAGCCCACAGCGAATATTTTTGCAGCCCAGCCAATATAATATGTAAGAAACGTTTTAATAAAAAATTCGTAACTTAATATTTACAATATCCTGTTATACATAATTATTAACAAACTACAATGTTTGCTAATGACTGATTACTATAATCGTGTTGCATTCATTTCCCTTACGCGCCTTACTTGCAGGCACACCATTTCTCTCCACTAATACTAACAGTGAATATTTTAGCAGCCGATTGCCACGTCATTTGTCTTGTACTGACTTGTTTGGTGTGCGCAACAGGAAATATTTCACTTTCAGAGAACAAGAAAAATAGGTTTATTTGTATTATACTTATTAATTTGTGAGGTTATTCAGTGTCTACTAAGTTAATGTTCAAGAAAAATATTAATTTTTATTAAAATGTTCTATTTTATGTTAATGATTACTCATTTATTTCAGCCCCTTGTATTCAGCATGTCTCTATTGAAATAAACCTACGTTTCTATGAAAATTGAAGCTTTTGTTTTTTTGTGGCCCACGTAAACTTAAGCCTTGGTTATTTGGCCCATGTTAGCCTTTGAGTTTGACATGCTTGGCCTAGAGGAGCTCAAGCTATAAGCAGCACACTTAGACCCACTACATAACCTTCCTAGAAAATTCATTCAGACTGCAGATATCCAAAGAAAGAATAAAATTAAAATGGGAAGTTGTGCCTCTAAGG